TTTTTCATGTCCAGGTACAGAGGGGCTCGCTTTTTATATAAGGCACTTTAAAGAAGCCCAAAAAAGTATGTATAGCTAAGTTTGTTTTTTCAGTTTTGGATAGAATAGGGAGGGGTAAACCTGCTTCTTTACTTCACTTCCTGTACAGCAGGATCTTAGGAGGAAATCTCCCAAAGTGAGGGAAACCCCCTTCTAGAGAGGTGTCAATGTAACAGGTGTTCCAGTCTGCCTCTTGTTCTGGACAAAACCTTAAAATGTAGGATTTCCCCTCACTTTCTTTCTTGGTAACAATGGCTACTGGTACAAATAGAAAGGGGGGGGATCTCTCCAAAGGGAACGCAGATGACAATAAACACCTGACAGAGGAGCCTATCCAAAACTAAAATAAAATATGCCTAGAGATACACTTTAAGGCTGGGTTCACGCCATGTTCCGGACCAGATCTGGAATATAGTGCATTGCGTTTTTGCAGCGATTGGAATTTTTTTTTTAAAAGCTTAAAATGGTCTTACAGGTGCGGTCCAGTGCGTTCCAGATGCATTTTCATGCGTTCCAGTACATTCCAGACCAGACAAAATGAGACATGCAGTATTTTTCTGGTCTGGAACAGAGGCCAGAAATAGCATAGGGATACATTGGGATGCATTTTGGGTCCGGAAACAATCTGGTCTGGAGATGATCTGGAAACACATGTATAGTACAACACAATGACAGGAAGTAGTCAATACACGGATGTTAGTAAACATACATCAAAAGCAAATCAATAGAATATAATAATGAACAGTGGGGGAATCATCTACAATGCAGAGAAATGATGGGGATATGGCTAATAATAAATGGATTGACATTATCTTCAGGGGTGTATTTATAAACAATTTGCAGAGCCATTTGTCCTTCGAGAATCTGTGAATGTTTGTTCTGTGTGAACAGAGGAAAAACACGGACACCCTTAGTAGATTTTCATTCCGGGTCTGATATCCTATTGTAGGGTGGCTCCTTTCCCTTGCAGGGCCCTATAGTGCCACCCTTGTGTGTGACAGTAAGCTGTGTCGCCATATATACAAAGACACAGCAAGGCAAGACAATCCCCTGCTCCCCCCTCTTCCTTCTTTCTCCAAGCTAGTAGATGGACGGCTGCTGGAGTCTGCTCTGTGCCTTGTACTGGTCAGGAAGTTCAGGAAAGACGAGCTGGCAGAGTTGGAGCTGTTTGGAAACATGATGACTAAGTGTTTGGGAAAAGATGTAAAGAAATTATTTGAAGGGCAATATATATTTGTTTGGTCCAAGTTAATTATTGAAAAACATATGGAGGGTTGAATACTACTTTAATATTTGTATCCTATGCTCCGCAGCTCCATCTAGTGGCCATAAGGCAGTATTACATTCAACCTGGAAAGAAAATATACTAAGAACGTTCGTTTTTGCCTCTATTTGTAAAGAAGAAACATTCAGAGATTGTCATGTCATGGGATGAATGGCTCTGCAGATGGTTTGTAGATACACCCCGAGGAGTGTTTCCACTCAAAGTGGATGTTCCCTGCAAGCTCCCTCCCCCAATGCAAATGACTTGAAAAAGCAATTTGTAAACAAGCAGATCGCCTGTGGGAAAAAAAAAATACTTTTCTGCTCCTGTGACTTTTCCGGGAAGCACGGGGACGTCATTGTACCTGCTTGCAGAACTGGGAACCAGAAATCCTGCAAGAAGGTCCTCCAGCCCATTGCATAGAGTACATCCTCCCCGGATTTCCAGCACCCGGCTCTGCAGGAAGTCACCCACACCGCCTGGCAGTCACCCGCATCGCCTGGAAGGGTGGCAGGCAAGGCATTTTGTTTGTTTACAAATGGCTTTCTCAGTCGAGCATGCCGGGGGAGCAGAGGGCTTCCATTTGCCAGGTCCAGTTTAATTATGAATAGCCAGCAGTGAGGAGACACTTCCAGGGACAAACCTGCAGAAGAATGGAGATCAGGGACAGTTCTCAAGCATGCATCACTCCCAATACACACCTGGGTAGGAGGAACATGGCTTCCTATGTAGGATTAGATGAGCCTTGTATGAATAGAAGTGATGACAAGGCTTGGCTCCTTCCCCGGGGCGCTCAGTACTGTGCTGGCTATGACACCCGATCTGCCGCCCTCACACAGCCCCTACCATCCCCGACAATGGCAGCCACCGGGACCCATCCCCCCCTCACCTAGACCTGGCCTCCGGCGTCTGGCTCATGTTGATGATGGCTCATCCACCAGCATCGCGACCGCGGCCCCGCCCTCTGCAGCCAGTCACCGGGGGAACTGGTTGGCACGGGAACCGAACGGCGCGTCCCGCATGACGTCACCGAGATGGCGGGAAGTCAGGGTGCTTCAGTGTGATGGAATGATAGCGGGCCGTGTCTGTGTTTGCCTTTGGCGAGGACGGTTTATTGTTCAGTCCCGGCGTACACCGGCTATACAGAGGTGCTCGGGGGTCCGTAAAGGTAAATACAGAAGGCCATTGCTGAGCTCCCTGGGAAATTCTTGGCTGTAACACTGGCCACTTCTGTATGTTCTATGTCTGAGCCCTTCTACACCAATAATAGACAACCTCAGCGCTCCAGCTGTTGTGGAACTACAAGTCCCACGAGGCATTGCAAGACCGACAGACACGACTTCCAAAGGCATGATGAGATTTGTAGTACCACCGCGGCTGGAGTGATGCGGTTGCCTAGACCTGATTTTACACTGATGTGTTGCACAAGCACGTTTTGCTTCCACTCACATTAAGGTATGGTTCTAATAAAGTACTGATATCCTTGCTGGCGGAAAGATCCGGCATAAAAAACAGCTACAGGTCTAGCACTGTGTGCGGCATTTTGTTTTTTTCTTGAGATTATAGAGGAGAGAGTGAGGGGAGGTAGCCAAGAGAAAGAGCAAGAAGACAGCCAGGGGAGAGAGTAAAGACAATGACCATAGAGGACTACAAATCCCAGCAATACATGATACAGCAATGCAAAATAACATGAAGCTATATACTCTGTGTTATTCCGGGGTGGCGCCCTGATGTCTCCAGGGTTCAGGTGGCCTGTGCAGGGCTCTTAGGTTTACTACGTGGACTATGTGGGCTCTCGGGTGGACCGTTCAGGTGGGCTCTGTGGACTCTCAGGTGGCTATGTGGTCTCTCAGGTAAGCTGTGCAGATTCACAAGTTGCTGTATGGACTTTCAGGTGGGCTATGCAGACTCTCAGGTGGTTTATGCGGACTTTCAGGTGGCTGTGGTTTCTCAGGTGGGCTATATGGACTTTCAGGTGGGCTATGTGGACTCTCAGGTGGGCTATGTAGGGTCTCAGGTGGGCCATGTGGGGTCTCAGGTGGGCAATGCTGGCTTACAGGAAGCTGAGCGGGAAGTGTGGGGGTCTCGAGGCAGGCAGTGTGCTGTAAGAAAGGAGCCAGAGGAGGAGATGTGTGGGTTCTGAGCCTGATGACTGGGACCCTGCGAGGCCCCGAAAGTACTTGCGTTCGGATGACATTGTCTGTCATTAAAATGGACATTTGTTGAATTTAACAGCTTGGTGTGCTGGTGCCATCCTTTACAATTTCGTATTTTCTCACGACGCCTCCGTGGTCACTGCGAGCACCCATTCACAAATTTTTTCAAGAAATCCTGTAAGGAGTGCAGCAAGATACGTATACCTTTCTTCACCCGTTGCTTCAGGCACAAATGGCTGCCTGAGATCCCACGTGCTTGCTGGGGATCTCAAGCAGCTGAATTTGACAGCTGGCTTGACACCCGGACATAAGACTCAAAAACCAGACTGTACGAGCGAATCCCGGACTGGTGGCAACCCTACGGTGGACGGTTGTAGGTGGGTGTGCCGCCATTTTGTAAACCTGTGCATACGGGACAGTGTGCATCTAGGGACGTATGGCTTTATGCAAGTAGCAGCGTAAACCCACATACAGCCATTCATTACCGCGGGTGGCTGTACGCAGCAGCTGTGTATTCCTAGTGTTAAAATATGTTGGAAATTTCCATTAATGGCATTATGTGCATGTACATGCTTTGACATGCATATATGGGTAAATTACACTGCGTGACAAGGTGCAATTTAAGGAGGAACGCCAGCTAGTAACAAAATGAATCCTTGCTGTTGGGCTACCGCCGCACTTCAAGGAGTAAGCGCTCATTTTGGTCAAGGGGCCAGAATATAAAAGGTATACTCATCTGATTCTCGATGATCAGGTGAGTATGTCTGCTTTAAAGGAGAACTATGATGCGAGTGCTTTTCACTCACCTCATAGTTCTAGCTGACCTGTGACAATGAGACTGTCAGAGGTCGGCTCAGTAGATCGGGAGGTGAGCGAACACATACCGACGTTCGCTCACCTCTCGATCCTGTCACGGCTCTCTGCTGTGACAGTGGAGGGGCTGGATTCCCCCCGCTCCAATCCGCCAGATGGGTCAGGTACAGCTGATACCAGGAACGGATGGGGCAGGTACAGCTGGCTCTGCCTCTAGATAGGCAGAGCCAGCTGTCAGTCACGTAGCTGGGCGGATCCCGGCACAATTGTCGGGATCCGCTTCAGCTGCGGCGTCTCAGTATACCGCAAGCTACAGCTCGCGGTATACTGAGCTTAGGGTGACGGGAGGACGCTAGTTTGTGTCCTCCCGTTACCCTAAGGAGAACTATGGGGAAAAACACTGACCCCATAGTTTTCCTTTAATCCAGCCGCTAGACCAGGGGTAGTGAATTACAATTCATGGGAGTCCAGTGAACAACATTTTCATCAAGCTGAGGTCCAAATTGCAGTCCAGACAGAAGGTCACTCAGTTCGTGTTTGTGCCACGGCCCGCCATTTAGGCCGCATTCACACCAGAAGCTGCACTGCAACGCACAGCTGCTAGTATGTGTTCCCAGACACAGTGCTGATGTACAAATCAGTCAGACTGACTACAGTTCCAACAACACTAAATTTAAAGAGCCACTCCGCTTAGGGTGAAGGGGCTACAACTCTTTTTTTTGTTTACATGTTTTCTAACTTTCTAGTTTGACGTTCATGGTATTACATTTTTCAGTTGCATGTATTATGAATGGTGGTGGAGTTCTGGAATTATATACTTTACATTGTGCATTTCCCCTTGTATTCCTGTGCTCGCTGTCAGTAGTTTATATGTTGTGTTTAAATTCATTAAACTTCAATAAAAATGTTTTGGAGAAAAAAACAAAAAAACACACAGCGTAGATGCAGGATTTTCTACTTTGATTTTATGCAGCTGAACATAGTGCAGGATTACAGCGTACTGATATGTACACTGTACACATCTGAACGTAGCATTTTTTTATGCCCATGTGTATGAGCCTTAATACATGATTAATAGTGTTAATTAGGGATGCACCTATACCGTTTTTTTGGCATCAAGTGCAAGTACCGATATTTATATTGTGGTACTGTCCGATAACGAGTACCGATACCTGTACTTCCAGTAGCATGGAGCCGGCTTCTCGGTTGACCGGGAAGCCGTCTCCATGCTGTTTGGCCGGCTTCCCTGAACTTCCTGTCCAGTACAAGATCACAAAGGACAGTGCAGACTCCAGCAACTGTTTATCTAATAGTTTGGTGAAGGGAGGAGAGGGGTGAAGGGAGGAGAGGGGTGGGGGGGGAGGAG